TGAGCCGCCTCCTCATCCTCACTCTTCACACACTCCGTGGTCTCTTTACACAATCCATGGTCTGTTAGGGTTCCTTGTGTCTGCCGGCAGTGTACAAACACTAACAGAAGCTTTCAATTTTGTTTTTACTCTTACGTTTCTAGTGTCGGGCACAGTACCTGGCATTTCATAGAGACTTATTTGTAAGAGAATGAATTAGGTGTCACAACAGGTGTTAACAGTATGTAAGTAATTTCAGTTCATTTCTCAAAATTTGCTTCAATCATGTGTTATGTAATTTTTTTCTGAGGTATTTAGTATATTGAATAAGTTTTGAGATGAATTGTACATTTTTTGTTGTTCCCCTTTGATTTGTAAATATCATGTCTTTTCCAGGGAAAGGCACCAGAGAAACTGTCTGAAAACAGTAAAATATTAATCTCTATGGCTAAGGAGAACATACCACCGAACAGCCAGCAGCCCACGGGATCCTTAGGTACGGTACTATGAGTGTGCAGCTGATTGTAGCATGCATAACAGGGCATTGTGAAAGAGGTTTGTTTCTCCGGGAAAAAAAGATTTCTTTGCAACTTTATTTTGGAATCTTACATATGACAATACAGACTGCATATGAAATGTAATTTGGAGACCTTGTACCCGTTTCATTGATATTGTCTGGTTGTGATTGATGGAAATAATATAAGAAATCGTGTGACATACTAAAAATTAGTAACAAAATTGTAAAGTGTTGAGTGTGTTTTTGTATGTGTGTACACGAGAGAGCCTGTTTTTATTGATTAAAAATGGTAGACTTGCTTTGCTTAAAATTCATAGGCCTGGCAAGATGGCTCAGCTGGTACAGATGCTTGCCACCAAGTCTGAGGACCTGTGTTTCATCTCCAGGCCCCACAGACATTTGCAAATAAATAATTTCAGTAGGAAAGAATGAAGGGAGTATAAAGTATATGAAAAGTTATTGAGGACCATTTTCTGTGTGGCTGTGTTTGCATATGTACATATACATGTGGGGTTCAGAGGCCACCTTGAGTGTAGTTCCCAGGAGAGGGCCCCTCTGAGACATGCTCGCTCACTGGGAGCTGAGCTGCTCTAGAGGTTGGGTTCCTCTTGCTTCTCCTTGGATTCTAAGCATGTGTCACATCCAGTTTCCTACATAGCTGCTAGGGATTGAACTTGGTCCCTCATTGTTACATGGCAAGCTCTTTACCTATTAAGCTGCCCAGCCGAAGGTCATCCAGATTGGAACGAGAAAGTTAATAGTACAACCATACTGATTTTAAAATTATGTTGTAGTGATTTCGGGCTACAGTACTTCTCAGTGATCCAGGGGAGGGCCTGAGGATTTAAATGAAGACAAAAGATAGCGGGTCATTCTTGCAAGGAGAATGGCGTTTATTGTAACAAGAGCAGAGCATTAAATACCAGTGAGCAGGTACGGTGGAAAACTGCTAAGGTCAGAAGCTCACGTTCCCAGGCCACTCCGACAAAGGATGGGTGGATAACAGGAACTTGAATTTAGACAATAAGGGTGGGCAGAAAACAGGAACTTGCACACAGGTCTAATTGGAAGGAGGGGAATAGGATATGCTCACTTCTAGTCACAAGCTGGTCAGCAGTCCCTATGGGGGAAGGGTCCAACATTATGTCTTAGTATGAAGTATTTGGAAACTTTTTAAAAAACAAAAATAGTAGTTTGTTGACATTTTTAATGTTGAAACATGAATATTATCAATAATATGTATCTTGTGTGACTCATTGATGGTGATTGAAATGTTCACAAAAAGTAAGTCAAATATAGTGAATTCATTTGATTCCTTGTTTTCACTGGACTAGTTCATGATCACAGGTGTATTTTCTGTTGCTACTTTGCTTTTAGTGGTAGAGAGGATAGCTAAGAGGCAGTAGTTAAAGGGCTTTTTTTCTTTATTAGAACAACAACTCAAAGTGATTGCCCTAGTATCAGTATCAGATATATAGGTAATTCACATTTAATTGTTGAAAATTATTCGTTAATATGCAGCTGTAAGGAAATGAGCTATTATATTTTAGTAAATTTCCTTAATATCTAAACTCATTAGTTTTTTTAAAGTAAGTTGGGTAATACTGGGGTCTGGAGAGACGGCTCAGTGCCTAAGGGCACTGGCTGCTCTTGCAGACTGGCCAGGTTCAGTTCCTAGTTCCCAGCTCCCATCTAGTGGTTTATAGCTGTCTGCCTCTAACCCCTGATTCAGGGATCCGATGCCCTCTTCTGACATCTACTGGGACCAGGCACTCGTGTAGTGAACAGACATACATGTAGGCAAAGCATTCATACAATAAGATTAAAAATACAAAGTCAGCCAGGCGTTGATGGTGCACGCCTTTAATCTCAGCACTCGGGAGGCAGAGGCAGGCAGATCTCTGTGAGTTCGAGGCCAGCCTGGTCTACAGAGCGAGTTCCAGGACAGCCTCCAAAACAATACAGAGAAACCCTGTCTCGTAAAAGTCAGTTGGATTATTTTCTCATCTGAAATTTGTGTGAATTAAAATTCTAAGAGATAATTAAAAACTTAATTATAGATTATTTTAGATACCTATTCATTAAGTTCAGGCAAAATCACTGAAATTTTGGGGTTGTAGTTTTGGCTTGATTGGATCGCCATGCCTTTGTGATGTGGCATGTTTGTTTTAAGTTTCTTTCCTTATAGTGTGGACATTTTCTCCCAGGATTGTTATGAACAGAAATTGAATATTTATGAAAAGACAATTGACATGTATAATAAATGTTAATGTTTCCTTGAGCTTTACATCTTCTGCAAGGGAGTTATTTTATTCTATACCCCTTACATATGAGAATTATTTTAAAATATAATGTGCAGTAGTCTTTGTCTATTTTTAAATTGGAGTGATTTGAGTTCTGAATTAGGCTGTTCCTTTTGCTTCATGACTCCCCAAGTGACTGTATCCACTCACAGGACAATTTTTTTTTTCAAACAGTGTAAATGTAATTTGAAAACCTGTACTCAAGTCTCAGTTTCTTCTCAATTTTATTTGCAACCTACTTTCTTTTATCAACTTCTTACTTCCTACTGGATGTTGCTTCTACGTGGGTATCATGGCCTCTGAGCTTTCTGGTTCTTGCCGTGTTAGCAAGCTGCTTCCTCATTCTTGGCTCCCTTTCTCTGCTTGGCAGATCAGATAATTAGGGAGATGCAGTGCATTTTAATAGGATGGCATTCCTAATGTCCAGTCAGTTCACGCTTCTCCAGTCCCCCTGACTGTTGTGTGTAGCTCCATTCTCTTGAGCGGTAACCTTTTCTTTGTGAGCCCTCTTATGTGTCTGCATGCTATTTAGTCTCTCATCCAGACATGAATCTCATGTATTAATCTGTTCCAAACTCTTCCGTGGCTTCTCATCTCCTTGTCTAATTTTAGCTTTCACTGCTGGATTGGGGTGGACATTTCTGCTGTGGTGCTATATTTTTGCTAGCTGCCACAGTGCTTGACACTTATTTACTTGGAAAAGGTATTTTGAATGAATGAGTGTTTTTTTTTTTTTAATAAAGTCAGTTGTCTTGGGAATATAGAGTTTAATTTGCATGAGATCTTTTAAAAATTGTCATCTAAAATAACTATTTATTTACATTGAATATTACTAAAGAATGTTATACAATTTTGTCTTGTTTATGGTTACTATTGCTGTTTTAAAACACAAGGACCAAAAGCACTTGGGGAGGAAAGGGTTTATTTGGCTTACATATCCTGAATCACAGTCCACTGAGGGCCGCTAAGTCAGGAACTTACACAGATCAGGAACCGGGAGGCAGGAGCTGATGCAGAGCCATGGAGGGTGCTGCTTACTGGCTTGCTCCACTTGACTTGCTCAGCCTGCTTTCTTATAGAGCCTGGACCACCAGCCCAGGGGTGGCCCCACCCACAATGGGCTGTGCCCTCCCCATTAATTAAGAAAATGCTTTACAGGCTTGCCTACTGCCCGATCTTGAAAGAAAATGGCCCCCAAAGGGAGTGGCACTATTAGGAGGTGTGGCCTTTGTTGGAGGAAGTGTGTCACTGTGGAGGCAGAGTTTGAGGTGTCATATATGCTCGAGCCACACCCAGTCTCACTTCCTGTTGCCTGCAAGATATAAAACCTTTACTCAGCTCCTTCTTCAGTGTCATGACTGTGCACCCTGCCATGTCCCACCATGTTGATAGTGGACTAATCCTCTGAAAATGTAAGCCTCCCATTTAAATGCTTCCCTTTATAAGAGTTGCCATGGCCACGGTGTCTCTTCACAGAAGTAGAAACCCTGAGACAGTGTGTAACAGCGTGTCTGTATGTGGTGTCTGTGGGTTGGTGTCAGGGCTTCATGTATGTAAGACAAATACTCTACCAGCTGAGCTACCTCTTTAGTCCCTAGTTTTGCTGGTTTTAAGTTAACCCTATGCATTTGTAACTGACAATAGAAGTTACTAATACTTTGATAAACTTTGTGAGGGTCAGCACATCAGTAGTTTTCACGTAGATTAAAAAATTTTTTTTATTAATTTAGTTTTTACCCAGTTCTCCCTCTGTCTTCTCCTCCTGTGCCTTCCACCTCCCCCTCCCCCTCCCATCTGCTCCACAGAGAGGGTAAGGCCTCTTCTAGGAAGTCTACTAAGTCTGCCCCGTTATCTTGTTGAGGTAGGACCAAGGCATCTCTCCACCCCCCCACACCCCTGTGTTTAGGCTGAGCAGGTATCTCTCCATATAGAATGGGCTCTCCTAAGTCAGTTTGTGCATTAGTGTTAGAACTTGGACCCACTGCCAGTGGCCTCATATATTGTCCCAGTCACACCATTGTCACCTATATTAAGGGAGTCTAGTTTGGTCTTATGCAGGTTTCCATTTGTCAGACCTGGGTCAGTGATCTCTCACTAGCTCAGGTCAGCTGATTCTGTGGGTTCACCATCGTGGTCTTAACTCCTTTGTTTATATTGTCGCTCCTCCTTCACTTGGATTGTACTCCAGGAGCTTGGTCCATTGAAATATGGAACACTTCACGAATTTGCATGTCATCCTTGCACAGGGGCCGTACTAATCTTCTCTCTATCATTCCTATTTCACTGTGTGTGGTGCTGAAGTGAGTACAGTTTCACATTAGCAGACACAGTAATACTTTTTACTATGGAATCTTTATATATGTATGTGTGTCATTATACTTTTTTCCACTTGCTCCCCATCCCCATTGCTCTTCCCTGTGCTCCCTTAACCTTAAGCTGAACTCATCTTTTGAAAAATACATTATATTTTTTATTATTTAGGGGTTGCAGTCTTAGGTAGTTGAAGAACACCTTGTGGATATCATTTCTCTCCCTTCATTGAATGGAATTAATGGAGTCTGTCAGGCCTGGCAGCAGATGCTTTAACCCACTGAGCCATCTCACTGGGCCCTAAACACATCCTCTTGTGCGTTAATTGTGGTGATATTTTGTTTATGATATAATAAAGCTTGCCTGAAGATCAGAATGTAAAGCTAGTCACTGCCATAGAGGCCAGACAGTGGTGGCACACTCCTTATAATCCTAGGACTCAGGAGATAGAGGCAGATGGATCTCTGTGAGTTCAAGGCCACCCTGGGCCTTGTATGAGAGTGAATCAGTCTAAAAGAGAAACAGAGCTCATGCCTTTAGTCCCAGCACTAGGGAGGTGGAAACGGGAGTGATGTGGCTGGGCAGAGAGAGGAGTATAAGGTGGGAGGAGATAAGAACACATTGCAATCTAGGCAGTCTGAGGAGCAGTGCAGTCTGGAGATGCAGTCTGGTGACAGGATCCCCCTTTGGTCTGAACATTGGTAGAGGTGAGAACTCTCCAGTGACTGACCACTTTGCTTCTCTGATCTTCAGGTTTAATCCCAATGTCATCTCTGGGGTTTTGTTTGTGCTACGTATCCATGTGAGTTTGAGGCCAGCCTGGTCTATAGAGTGAGTTCTAGGACAGTCAGAGTTACCCGGAAAAACCCTATCTCAAAAAAAAAAAAAAAAAAAAAAAAAAGAAAAAAAAGAAAAGAAAGCAGAACATGACAAAGCCATTGTGAGGTAAAGTGGACGTAATTTGGTGACTGAATCTGATGGGGCACTAAACTGTGAGCATGGTGGACAGCTGCCAGGCCCTGCTCTGCTTGGTGCAGTAGGATGGACTGTGGGGAAACAGAGACTTGAAGAAGCGTAATGCATTCGTGTAGGGAGGAAGAGCTCCGTTGTGAGAAGTTGGTGCACTGCTCTACCCTTCCCTTTCCCCCTTTTCTGGGATTAAAGGTGTGTGCTGCCACCTCCAGGCTCAGCAATATAATTTGGGATCAGGTTTTATGCTCTTCCAGCATGACTCTTTGTACTAAGGATTGTTTGTTTTAGCTTTTAGCTATTTGAGTCCTTTTCCTTTCAATATGAATTTTAACCTTTGTTTGTGTGTGTATGTGTGTGTGTGTGAAAATGTCATTGGGACTGGTATGGATTGCATTGAATCTGTAGATGGTTTTGGTAATACAGCCATTTTCTATAATAGCATATGGACTATCTTTTCATTTTCTTTAGTTAGTGTCTTAAAATTTTATTATGTTGAGACATGTTCTTTCTAGTTCTAATTTCTTTTTTTTTAAGGATTTCTTTATTATGTATACAGTGTTCTGTCTGCATGTACTCCTTCAGGCCAGAAGAGGGCACCAGATTTCATTACAGATGGTTGTGAGCCGCCATGTGGTTGCTGGGAATTGAACTCAGGATTTCTGGAAGAGCAGCCAGTGCTTTTAACCTCTGAGCCATAGATCACTTCAGCCCCTTCTATTACTAATTTCTTCAGGGCTTTTTATGATCAAGCGATATTAAACCCTTTTTCTTTTCCCTGAGACAGGGTTTCTCTATGTAGCTTTGAAGCCTGTCCTAGAACTCCCTCTGTATACCAGGCTGGTCTTGAGCTCACAGAGATCTGCCTGCCTCTGCCTCCTGAGTGTTGGGATTAAGGGTGTGCACTATTACCACCCAGTGAGATGTTGAACTTTGTAAAAATTCTACATTGATTGAGGTGATTATATAATTTCTGTTCTCATATTTTTGGTTGTGAGCCTAGCGTTTAGCGGCTGAGCTATCCCTCCAGCCTGAATTTCTGTTCTCAAGTCAATTAATATAATAAATTATACTTATGGATTTGTGCATGTTGAACAGATTTTGCATCCTTGACATGAAATCAGATTGGCCATCATCTTAGATTGCTTTCTCTTGCTGTGCATGGTAAAGCAACCTGGGGCGGAAAGGGATTTTTCAGTCTATAGCTTATAGTCACCCTGAAGAGAAGTCAGGTCAGGAACTGGAAGGGGAGCCCTGAAGGAGTAATACATCTGGCGCCATCCTCTCTCTATGGCTTCTTCAGCTTGGTTTCTTAACCCAGGACTGTAACAGGACTTTCTTTGACCTACCAGCTCCCAAATAATAACATGGAGACTTATTAATTATGAAAGCTTGGCCTTAATTATGAAGACTTGTTCCCAACTGGCTTTCAGAACTTAAATTAACCTGTTTACATTCTGCCACGTGGCTTGTTACCTCTGCTCAGTACCATGTATCCCCTTTCTCCAGTGTCTGGTGGGCAAATTCCCTGCTTCAGATTCTCACCCAGAGTTCCCATCTCTGTCCAGCTATTGGCTGTTGAGCTCTTTCTTAAACCAATCAAAAGGTGCCTTGGCAGAGACACATCTTCACAATGAACAAAAAGATTATCCTACAATACAAGGCCACTTTCCAGGGATTGCACCTCCTACAGTAGGCGGGACCCTTCCCACATTAATAATTAATCAAGTAAATGCCACATAGAGCTACGGTCAGTCTGTTAGATACATTTTCTCAATTTAGGTACTTCTTCATAGATTACTCTAGTTTACGCCAATTTCATAAAAACTAGTCAGTCCAGTCCTGGTGTGTATGATCTTAATGTGTTATTGAGTTTAATTTACAATGTGCATGTTCAGGGAAATTGACGTAGTTTCCTTTGGTGTTCTTAACTGGTTTTGGTGTCAGGGTAATGCTGCATTCAAAGAATGAGTTTCATACTGTTCCTTCTCTTTCTATTTTATGGACAGTTTGAGGGATATTGGTATCAACTTGGTAGAGTTTAGTAGTAAAATTATTTCGTCGTGGACTCTTCTTTGTTGGGAATGTCTATTATAGATCTGATTATGTTATTTGTATCTTTTGGTTTGGCAGGTCATCTGTGTGTTGGAATTTATACACTTTTTACAGATTTTTCAGCTTTTTGCAATTTATTTTTTAATTTCAAAATATACCCCAGTGATTCTCTATTTCATTGAAATTCATAGTAATCTCTACTTTATCATCTTTAATTTTACTAATTTGATTATTTTCTCACTTTCTTTTGATTAATTTGGCTAGGGATTTGCCAGTTTTATTTTCTTTTAATAAATCAAGTGTTTTCTTCCTTGAGTCTATGTATTAATTTTTTTAGCCTTTATTTACACCTGGGTCTTTATTGTTTCTTGTTGTCTACTGGTTTTCAGTTTAGCTTGTCCTCAGTTTTCTAAGACCTTGAGGTATACCAATTGATCATTTGAGATCTCTTTTTATTTGAAAAATAATTATTTGTGTACATGTCTGTCTATCTGTGTGGGCATGAATTAACTGGAAGGACTACGATCTCCGTAAAACTTCATGATCTTTCTCAATAACCTAAAGTTCTACTGCGAGGTAAGTAGAGGTAGCAGTGCTTTGCCACAGCACTAAGAGGGTAGAAACAGGATTAAGAGCTCGGCTGTCCTTGGCTATATAGAGAGTTTCAGGCTAACCTTGGCTGTATGAGACCCAGTCAAAAAACAAGGAGAGCATATCGTGCTGGTTAGTTTTTGCCGATCACTTTACACAACCTAGAGTTAGCTGGGAAGAGGGATCTTCAGTTGAGGAATCACCTTGATCAGATTTGTCTGTGGCCAGTGTCTGAGGAATTAGCTGTATTGCTGAGTGAAGTGGAAGTCCCAGGCCACTGTGGGTTGTGCCATCCCTAGGCAGGTGGCCTGGGCTGTATAAGAAAGCGTACTGAACACAAGTCAGTGAGCAGCATTCCTCCATACTTGCTGCTTCAGTTCCTGCTGGAGTTTCTGCACTGACTTCCTTCACTTAGAGATTGTTACCTGGAGGTGTGAACTGAAATCCTTTCCTCTCCCAAGTTGCTTCTGGTCATGGTGATAAAGTATTTTGACCAAAACAACATACTTCTATGATCCAGTTCACAGAACTCCCTTGCATGGTTGGTTCATTTCATATTGCTTCTGTTATATCTTTGGCAAAGCCTCTAATAGTGAAATCCGATCTTTTGTATGTGGCCATATGTAGCTAAATTTGCCGTAAACTAGAGTAATCTATGAAGAGTTTAGTAGTAAAATTATTTCGTCGTGGACTCTTCTTTGTTGGGAATGTCTATTATAGATCTGCATTCATAATTAACAATAAGTCTCCATTTCTTTATTTGGGAGCTGGTTGGTAGCCCAAAGAAAAAAATCCAACTGCACACATTTCCTGTTTTCTTTTCTGACAGGATCAGGGTACCAGGTCTTATGTTGAGATCCTTAGTCCATATGGAGTTGATGCTGTTACAGCAAAACTTTTAAAGAATTGTGCCAGGAGCAATTGTTATAACTAAACTTTAAAGGCTTCCAAAAGCCCACACAAACAGCCCATTCAACCTTCACTCACCCACTAATGAATCAATAGGAGATAGCTAAAAGAAAGAACATTCCACAGTTAGGTCACTTAACAAACCCTCCTTCTGTGACCTTTTACCCTTCCCCCCCACCATCCTGCTTATCTTCACCTGCTATCCTGCTCACCTTCCCCATGACTAAGAACATGCTGTGGCCTGGTTACTAGGCAATACCCCTCTCTTTGACACACCCACGGCCCCCCACCCCCACCCCACCCCCGCTTACCTAGCCTCCTACCCTAACCACTATATAAGGTTCCTGAGAAAAATAAAACTTTGCAGCTTGATCAGAAAGCCTGTCTTGCTTTGTTTCTCGTGTCTCCTGTCCCCTCATTCCAGGTTTCTCTGGGCTCCAGCTCCATTGTGCCCTGCTGACCCAGGCAGAATTGTTTTTTTCTGTCTCCAAGTTTAATCAGGCTTTCTCTTTTATTGCGTACCCACGGAGTTAATGGTCACTAATAATCCAAACACAGCTGTATTTAATGGTTGCTTCTGAAATTTTATTTTATAAAAAATTTGTCAGCCGGGCGTTGGTGGCGCACGCCTTTAACCCCAGCACTTGGGAGGCAGAGGCAGGTGGAACTCTGTGAGTTCGAGGCCAGCCTGGTCTACAGAGCAAGTTCCAGGACAGCCTCCAAAACAATACAGAGAAACCCTGTCTCGAAAACCCCCCCCCCCAAAAAATGTCATCTTTATGAAGTATTTTCTCACTTCTTTCATGATATGTTGCTTTTACTTGGCTTGGCAGGGTCACTTTTGGTTTTCCTCTTCTGTTCTTAGTCCCTCCTTGTGCAGAAAACTGTTGACATAGTTGACCTTGAACTGCTTGTCCTTAGAAAGTTTTGTTGTAAGATTGACCTGTGCTTGGAACTTACCCATCAGTGTGATTCCCACACTGATGAAAACTACCGTTAAATAATAAGAATGGCAGCTCATTGTGCCCCAGTCTGTGTAAAACACAGACACTATTTACTTTCTCTTGAGAAACCTAGAACTGTCGTCATTTTTATAAAATCTTTGGTATTGATTCTCTAATAGTTCCTGGGAGATAGATGGCACTCCAAGTGTGTTGTCTCAACCTGTGGTTGAAGGGACTACTGTGTTCTGGGTGACCCCATCAGGGTGGTAGCTGATGCCTAGTTTCTGCTGGATTTTTCTGCATACACGTCTTCCTATTGCTAATTTTGGTTTTCATCTTTTTACTATAACAAAGTTTAGTTGTGAATACAGTGATTCCTTCATGCTGTAAATTCTACTTAATCCTCAAGCTTGAGGTGATCTTAGGAGACCCTCAGCGTCATCTTGTCTTTGTTCTTTTTTGGTTCCTCTTCAGTTCCTAATCCCTGAGCAGGAATGCATTCTGTGTCTGAAGTCCATGGTGATTTTAGCTGACAATTCTAGATTCTTAAATAAAAATGCCACCACTCAGCACTTCAGGTTCAATATAAATGATTTATCATCATTATTATTAATGTGCTCTGAAGTTACCAGTTTGGTTTGCCGAACTAGATGAAGTGATTCCATGCTTGTTTGTAGAACCTACATAGCTTGGCTTTTTGCTTTGTTTCTGAGGCTCTTATGTGTTGCTCATGTCCTTGAACTTGGGATTGTCTTGCTTCAGCATCCGAGTCCTGGAACCATTGATGAGCTTCACTGTGCTTGGCTGATTTCAACATGGCTGACCGCTATTAAAAAACACATTTCAAAATAATTTTATGGAAATTTGAAAAAGAAATATTAATCCAAAAAGAACAAAGTACATGATTTATCACTTTAAAAAAATACCAGAAAAGAAGTGGCAGAAGAATTTTGTATTGTTCTAAAAGTTCGATTATTGTAAAACGGAGGGGATGTAAATATTTAGATTAAGGAAGAAGGAAGGTTACCGATGCCAGCAGCCTTTAGTTGTTTCTTGTGGCACACTTGGTGTTGGCTTTCCTTACTGCAGATGATATGCTGACACCCCCGGCCCTGTGTTGTGAGTCCAGGGGTCTTTGCAGGGACACCTCTGTAGCTGAGGCTTTGGACAGTGCAGGTCATGTCTTCCTAAGCCACCTTATATAGAGACTTGTAATTACTCCCTGTGATTTATCTTGGTTGGTTGTTACATAACATGGAGGGAATACATGCTCTGTGAGAATTTGTTTCGAACAGTATTTATTGTGAGTACTTTCTTAGGAGGTAAATTCATTTAAAAATGATTATAAGCTTTAGGTTTAAATATTACTTTTTTAAAAAAAATCTCACAACTAGTTACAGGAGCCTAATGCTTCATGATTGTTAGTCATGAAGCATAATGTTAACTACCAGTGTCACTGATGCTTATTTGTAGTGACATCACTTTGAATGACACTAATACTTTTCTTGCCACTAGTACCATCAGGGGCAACAGCTAAGTAAGTCTCACTATGTTTCTTAGCTCAAGTTTAAGTGCCACTGTTAGTACTTTATGGAAATTAGTAGAATATCTAAATTATTCTAGTCAGTTAATTTTATTTACTTACATTTTACTTTATCATCAGTGTGTGTGTGTGTGTGTGTGTGTGTGTGTGTGTGTGTGTAGGTACGATAGAGACTGTGGAGAGCAGACAACTTGTTGGAGTCAGTTCTTACCTTCTGTGGGTTCCAGAGATAGAACTCAGGTTAGGCTTTCCAGGCATGTGCTTTTATCCACTGACCCTTTTGTCTTTATGAATATTTATGTACTAGGTGACAAAAATACGAATTAGTTAGATGGTATTTTATGTTGACTAAACCAAAAGTTTTTTTTTCTTTTCTTTCTTTTTTTTGAGACAAGGATGCACTCTGTAGCTTTTCGTAGCTTAGAACTTGCTATATAGACCAGGCTGGCCTCTAACTTAGAGATCACTGCCTGTGCCTCTGGAATGCTGAAATTAAAGGGGTATACCACTATTCTAAGCTTATAATAGATTTACTAATAATACATTAAGCATTCTCAATGGCTGCTTATTAAGCCAGTGTTACAAGTAGTATTTTAATCAGTAATAGAAACCAGATGTCGTTTCCATTTGCAGTACTGGGGATCGGACCCAGGGCTTTGTGCCTGTTGAGCCAGCACTCTCTAGCACTGAGTTATACCTCTTCTCTTTCTAGACAGGGTCTCATTAAGTGCCCACCCATCTGGCCTCAGCCAGGCTCAATCTAGTTCAGGAAAGCCTTAAACTTACGGTCTTCAGTGTGTTTCAGGTTTGGAGTACCTGGGTTTATGTAGATCAAATACTCTTAATAAAGTTGAACTTAATAGGGTCAACAATTTATAAACGAACATGATTTCACATTTTCCAGTTCTTCTAGAGAGACCTGCAAATAGAATTCAAGATTGTAGTAAAGGCATTGTAAGAATATGATGTCCAAGAAGCTACAATTTGTTTTCAGCCGAAAGTTGGGCCTACAGGAAGGTATCACCCTTTCAGCATTGTCATTTTCTCCTTGACACCATAGAATGTCTATTGTGACTTCGTGTCACTAGACATGTAACTCTGGTTATTAGGTACTGTTAGTCCTTCCTCTCAATGCCCTCAAACTGCTAAGAAGCAGAGATGAAACCCAGAGAGGATGATATTCTTGCCCCTTCCTTCTCATGTCTTCCTTTTCTTAGCCATTCCTTTAGATGGCCATTTTCAAAATTATTTTATTTTTTGAGACAGGGTCTCATGTTTCCTAGATGGGCCTCAAACTCCCTATGCAGTGAGGATGACCTTGAATTTTTGGTCTTCCTGCCTCCACCTCCTGAGTGCTATCATTACATGTGTGTCCCACCATGCCCAGTCCATTTGTGTATTGATTTGGTAAACATTTCATGGGTATAAGTTGTATGTTAGGTGTTACAAAGTTGAGTGCAGCATGGGCTTTGTTTTTGCTGATCTAATCCTTTAGTTCCACACGCATACTCTTGCTGAATGAGAGATAAATAGAATGCATATGTGAATGAAGCCCATTAATTTGTATGCTAATTAAAAATATTAAAGTAAGGCCAGCAAAGTGGCTTGGCAGGTAGAGGAATTTCTTGCACTTAGGCCTGATGACCTGAGTGTGATCCCTAGAATGTCCAGTGTAGCAGGAGAGACACTGAGTCGTGAGAGTTGCCCTCTGCTGCCACACATGTGGTATGTGTGGCATGTGTATACTTGCATGTGTATGTGCATTTGTGTGCATGCACACATACAACTCAAAAAAAAAGACCAGATAAGAACCCTCCTACTGTTTCTCTCGTTTGGCTTAAATTCTGTATTTAAAAACACACTATTTCTCTGGGAGCAAGGAGATTTCTTTCAGGATGATGTAAAGTCAAGATACAGGGAATGCTTGAGATATCCCTGCCTGTTATATCTTTATCACCAAGGCATTAAATAGGCAAGGTATGCTTATCAAAAGAATTTCACAGTGTTTATAGTGTAAAGTGAAATTTAGTGTTTTATAAAACAGTAGACATGTATTTATACATATGTAGTCTTGGCCTTTCTTGAGTTCAAACAAAAGCAGAGGACACATTCATTGAACATATCCATAATTCCTTAAATTGTAAGGAATACAAAATTGGATGTTTTATGACAGTTTATAAATTCATCTACTATTTCTTCTGTAGTACCTAGATTAGTTATAAGCTTTTTCTTTTAGAAGTAATAATTTTTATTTTATAATTAGCTATATATTATATAAATTATGTAAGTAATTAAAATTAATTAATTTGAGATAGGGTCTAATGTACCTTAGGCTGACCTCAAAGTCTTTGCAGCTAAGGATGATCTGAAACTTCTGGTCTCCCTGCCTCGCCCTCTCGAGTTCTGGGATTACAGATGTGTATTACTGTATTTTACGCAGTGTTAAGGATCCAACCCAGGGTTTCCTGTATGCTAGGCAAATACTCAACTAGCTGAGCCACATCTCCAGCCTTAGAAGTGATTATTTTTATTTTCTGAAAATTTAAAAATCATATTTGAGAGGTGCTGGGAACTCTGGTTAGTCCAGCCTTGCTGGAGGAAATCAGTCTCAAAGCAACAGCAACAATAAAAACTAAAAGAGAAGAAAAACAAGATGCTTAATGATGATTTATCTAAACAGGGAGAAAGGTACTCACATACATCCTTGCATATACAATAACCTAAAATTGTTGTAATGTAGCTACATAGAAAGCTCTGAAGGAGACAGAAGAAACAGTGTCCTGGGCAGGGGAACAGGATGGCTAGGGTGCACAAGTGGAAATAATTGCCACTGCATCTGTGTATCACCTACCACCGCATTCAGAACACGAAAGCTAACTGATTACAGTCCTTACGTGCTTTGTTACAGGAGGGGAAACATCATTGAAATTGCTTTGAAAAGGAATGTGCTACTTAAGTTGCTTTCTGTTTTAGGAATTGACTATGGATTAAGTTTACCACTTGGAGAAGACTATGAACGTAAGAAGCATAAATTAAAAGAAGAATTGAGGCAAGATTATAGACGCTATCTTACTCAGGTAAGATGTTATATTAATGACTAGTATTTTGTCTGTTTGGATTTATCACTAAATTTACTTTTGGAAAGTGTTGATCATATGTGATACCTGGCCAATTAGTATAGTCAAAATTAATTCTTGGTAGAAAAAAATGTGAGAATTTGTGCTGTGAAATAATAGACTCTTCTTGGAGCTTTGTTGTTCAGCAAGGCCCTGGATTTAGTTTCCAGCACAGGAGAGTGTTTTACTAGGGAAATGGATTTTAATATTAAGCAAGATTACCCACTGTAAACAGTGCTTGCTTGTTTTCTGTAAAGCTATCTTTGTTTAAGGGGGCCTATCCACTATTCCCCACAGTGTAATAGTGACTAATTATTTTTTTTATTTGATATGCTTATAAATTTTCAGTTAACAGTTTTATGAACTACTATGTTCAGTCAGGATTTTTTCTTTACTGTGAAAAGTATCTGAGAGAAGCAGCGTAAGAGAGAAAAAGAGTTCTGAGGTCCAGTCTGTGGTCAGCTGACTCCAAGGCTGTGGGCCTGTGGTAGGAATGTGCAGCAGAACAAAGTTTGTATACATAACAAGCAGCAAGGGTGTGGGGATGAGACGGAGCCTCCCTGTGGCATGTCCCAAGTGACCTGTTTTCTCCAGCAAGACTGGACTAATCAGAGTTTCCAGGACCTTCCAAAGGAGTGCCACCAAATGGAGATCAGGCTTTAGCAAGAGCCTTTGGAACATTTCATGTTTGGATCTCAAGGGCCACCAGCGGCTTTGCTTTACGATTAATCGTTTATGTAGCAGGACCATTTTGCAATTATCAGATTATCTTATTATAAGTTTTACAATACAGTTTTCTTTGTAGGTTCTAAAAATATTTAAGCAATTATGTTTCCAGTATTCACAATACTCCTGGCTTTTCCATTGCTTTATAAACACTTGTTTCAAGTTGTAATTGGAAAGAACAGATCTTTACTGAATACACCTTATCAATGGTTTGTTTCTCTTGACTTTAGGGCATTACACAAGCAAAAAGAAAGGTAGGGTTGCCTGCATAATGTTCTCTTTTAATTTGTTTTTAAAAATCTGTAATAGCTTGTAATCATTTGCACTTCAGCGATTCAAGTCAAGTAGAAAAACAGCTTCATTTGTGTTTCTGAGACTTTTGAGTGGTACTTTTTTGTATCTTTGCTTTTGTCGAGATTATAGTCTACACCTTATAATTTTCTATTAATGCAGTCATTGCCTTTATTCTTGCTTTGCATTTGCTTTCATTGCTGTCTATAAATATCCTGGAACTGTTGTATGCTTGCTTTTAGCTTGTTGATTTTTGTTCCACAATTTATACTGATCACAAGTAATAGTCAATTTACTTAAAAATGTTTTGAACTATGTTTTTTCATGATTTAGATTACTTGATATTTTTGTACCAATCAAGCTGATCACATTTGTTAATTTTTGTTGGAAAACAGAGCACCAGTTAGTAGTTGTACAAACTATTTAAAAACATTCTCATACATTTTTTTATCACTCTACTAATGTTTAAAAAACACAATAGTTTGTTACACTGTAGATCCTGTCTTCAAGGGCTTTAGGATTTAGCTGTGAATATAATAGTTCATCAAGATCAGGATATCAAAATATCCTGATCAGTGGGAGGTATAATTTTTATAAGGTATTTACAGGGTAGGAAGAATTTAGATATTAGGAAAGACAATAGAGTAGAGAAAGCTTTTCAAATGGAGAATATAGACTGAAGAAAGATGTGGACTGTAGACTTTTGGCATTTGAGACATTTACCAGCTTGATGATGGATGCTAGCCTTTCTATAGAGTAATGAGAAATGATGTAGAAGGCTAGGATTGTGTTGTTGAAAGGCAGTCTGTGTGATGGGCTGTGGGGAAGTGTTGAGTTCCTGGAATGTCTATGAAGAGCGCAACTGCTTTAGAACAGTTACTTCAACTTGTTAGAGACTCTCATTAACTTACAAATTCTGTTATGTCTCATCTGAACTTATACTGATTATCACTTTCCAGAATGATCCTACAGCTTATTTAGTTTTCAGTGTCTTCCTCACTAATTTTGGAATAAAAAGTCGAATTCCTTAGCCTGTCACACCTTTCCTGTTCTAGCTTGACTCCCTAGGCCTGTCCCATATGTCATATCTTCCTTTTTTTCTGACTTCATGGGTGTAAGATTAGAAATGGATTGATGGGGGTGCTGGGCATGTCTCGTAAAAATGTGGTTTCAGCTTGTGAGAGCTGGCTACCAAAGGTAGAGGCTACAGAAAAGTCAAAGAATGAAAGACAGATCTTGGATTACACAAAGTATGAGTTCTTAGACACTGTGTCATGTCTTAGGTAACAGCAAGGCAGAAGGAAAGGGATTATGTCTGGGCTTGCCAAAGGTGGACCATGGCTAACCAGCCTTCCTCAAAAACTGTTGACATGGCCAATATCAGTTATAAAACAGTCTGGAGGCTAGAGACGTAGCTCTGTGGTACAGCACTCGTCTTACAACAAGGAAGAACAGTCTGGGTATCACTTTAATGTCTTTCCACCCGACTTGAGATGAGCACCAAATTGGCAGTCACAGCAGTGATGGCTGTGGTCATGTCAAGCTGGACAGTCGTGAGTGGCATGAAAAGGAAGTGCCTTGATAAGGGAAGTGGATGTGATGAAGGGAGCACAGGTCTTTCCATTACCATGAAGGAGTTGTTTTTGTAATGGGTTATTAAAAATACAGTGGTGAAGTTGTGGCATTTTCTTAAAGCCTTTGGATGATACGTGGAGGTGTGAGTTGATAGCAAGGAAATTACATAGGTGGGTGCAGTGGTGACGTTTGCCTCTAATCCTCAGCACTCAGAAGGCAGAGGCAGGCGAAGCTCTGAGAGTTTGAGGCCAGCCAGGTCTGCAAAGTTCGTTCCAGGACAACTAGGGCTACACAGAGAAAGCC